GTGTGCAAAATCTAACTCTGTGCAAAATGAAAATTCTTTTTTTTTAACAGATCACAAATTCGTACCGATCACTATGTGGGTGTGGGTGTATGTGTGTGTGTGTAGATATTATTAGAATATTTTATAAATTTTACAATACAAACAAATATTTGTAAATTCTTCCAGTTTAAATTATTGACTGACCATTGTAAAACCAGAAGCAGTGCTTCAAGATGTAATACATAGAGCTCTAGTGAGAATTTAATACTGTCAGGTATAAAAAAGTTATTTACATCAAAGAATGGATAACAGTCACGCAATATCATGAGTTTATGAGAGTTAAACATGTATATCACTGGATGCTCGCTCGCGAGTCGAGAAGTTAGAAGTTAACTTCCGGGACCAAAGTTTTAGATTTTCTATACTTGGGAGCAGACTGCTGAAAACTCACATACTAGAACAGAACGAGCACGCAATGCTTCCACTTTTTCCCTGGTGGTCTAGATAATATCAGTTAGTGATTTAGTCATGAAAATTCGATAATTTACATGATATCTTCTATACGAACATTTGTGAATTTATCAAATTCGTCATAAAGAGTGAAAAATGTCCTAAAAAGAAGCAACATTTTAAAGCAATAATAATAATAATATGAACACTGCATCTATTCTGATGAGAATAATGAATGGTAACTGTAGAATCTATTTCTGGACAAATACGATACATGTATTTTTTCGTATAACAGTTAAGTAATTAAACTATGCATATTCATGTTCCTCCTACTATAAGCTTTATTTTGACCCATAGATTATTATTATATGATTTACCGTTCTCAAGTTATTCCCAGTCTATTAATTACAATCTCCCATATTCACAGTCACTTTTTGGCTAGATATTGTACAAATGTTATTTTCTATTTTATGGTACGGTGTGGTCTGTCTGGTTGATATATAAACCCAGTATGTTTGAAATACATGATTCATATTGCATAGGTTGAGATTTGTGTTCTGAACTTAACAGGAAGAGCTAGGCAGGAAGAAGAACCGATAAGGACTGTAAATTGTTCGTACGGGTTTACGGGTTATTGGTCCAGTCGATAAATTACTGTTCTCTAGTTGGCGATATCATTACGTTATATATTAATAGGGCACGAGACTACAAGTAACATTAGTTCCAACTTAATGTAATGTGATTTTATTTAGTTGGTACTATATTTGTGAAATGTGTCTACAAATTTTAAGAGTAGCTCATATCCTTAAAGACAAATATATGTATAATTCAACAATCTGTATGTCGTAAATGCGGAGACAGAATATAATTCAATCAAACAAATGTCTCCAATTTATTAATTTTTAAACTCTTGATAAATATTGTATCAAGGTATCATCAGTGACGTTACAAATAAAATCTCCAGGCTACTTTTCTCCTGAGTGTAACTATATGTTTAAAGCAAGTATATTAATTGATTACTGAAAAGGATTAAACGTCATAAGTTAGTCAAAAAAAAATCAATAAATCAAAGATTACAAACTTATTCAAAATATTATGATATACAGTTAGATAATCTGTAAGTTTGGTTGATATCAGATGGAAAACTGCTGAATATCAAAGGGTAATGGATAAATATTCTATTCTCATTCTGAATTATTAACAATTGTACACTAATAATTTTATTTAAAATCTTGAATATATTGTGGTGTGTGCTACTTATGTAGGCATAAGTAGTTTATGATGTTAGTCGTGAACAGAATGTCTGGCAGCAGAGAGACAAGAAGATCAAACAGTAAAGAATGAAAACAGAAGGCGATTTGTATAGAAATGCAAAAACAATGAAGTCTGAGTCATTTTGGGACCATTGATGGACATTTTGCAAATTGAGCATTTACTTTATGATTATTAGATTTTATTAACAAGTTCTGTAATTTACTGTCGTAGACATTCGATTGTTCCCCACTCGTGTTCGTGTTCACTACAACATCATCAAACTTTATTTAATTGTTCCATTATTATTTATTTATTTATTTTAACACATAGGTATTGGTACAAGGAGGCACCAAATACATATGCGCCACACGAATCTCAATTGATTTGTGTGAGGGCTGTGATACTGCCCGGGTGCCCAAACCGAAGCAGGTGGTTTTCTTAGGGGGCCACACCCCGAGCCTTTGACCTGAACGTCTGATCCACAACGCAGTGGAGCATCGTGAGGAGATGCAGTCCCATGGTAGCCGGTCACCAACGATTGGTTCATACGCCATTTGTTCCTTCAGGATACTGGAGCCCATGTGCACCATTGGTTTGGGGTCCGGTTATAGCGCCGGACATTCGCTTTTCGTCCTCTCATTTTCGTAAACAACAGTAATGCCACGAGAAGGCAATGAGTAGGACTTCCCTGGCAGGGGCTGTATAAGCGTGGCCATGTAAGAGCATTTGGAGAGGGAGAGTGGACTCTCCCCACTCTCGGCCGTACCAGGCATTAGTAGAACAAATTACATTTTTTAAAGTATTGACTATTCAACTCTAATTCAATCATTCAAACATATCACATTCCATACAATGTCTGTAAATCATTGATTTTATCTTATGTAATATAGTATATATATGTATATACATGATTTGAAAGTTTCGAATTAGATTTAACCAGGTATCTAATTCATTCTCTAGTTTACAATGTTTTAATGCTTGACGTCAATTTATAATGTTAGGTAACTAAATTATAATGATTATATTGAATTTCTACTTCTATTACCAATAACAATAACAACAAAAATTGAACATTACTATATTACTTATGAGACGCATCAATAGTAAACATTTATCTAAATTATCATTAGTTAAATAAATAACGTAAATGTTATATAATAAATTGAATAAGTCGGTATTTTTTTTATTCTTTATGGTTGAATAATCTTTCCAGTCATGTAACCAGGTTATTTACAAAGTTTACATTAGAAAATATTTAACTGAAATGATATAAAATTGATTTCTTTGATAAACATTTTATTTAACAAAAAAGTATACATACTGTAAGCAGTATGTTTAGTTGAATTCAAAATTAGTTATTGATTAAGATTATCAACCAATTTATGATAGATCATTATTGAAAACTTGAAGAGTCCCAAAATAAGACGAAACAGCCGTCTAATGATTTCAGATTTTCAATGGTGGTTTAACATCAATCAGTTCATGATCTCAATAAAAAATGTAATAATCTTCACAATACCAATACTGATAATTACCATGACTAGCATCGTGAGGGAATTCTCGGAGTTCTAGTAAGAAGCCGTGACCAGTGGAGCTAATCCATGTCGGATAGAGAAAGTTATCGACCTCAGTACAATGGAAGATGGTCACGCAATGTCGTGGATTGGTTGAGGTTAGACACTAACACCATTGGATGCTGGCTCCATGGTCTAGACTGTTATATCTTGTGACCGCCGATTAGAGAGCAGTGAGTTATCGATCGGACCAAGGACGCTCAAAACACGTGCGAGTAGCCTAGAGTCCTTATTGTTCTCGCTTCCTGTCTAGCCCAATCAGTTAAGTCCAGAACACCAATCTCAGCCTCTGATATATGAATCATTTATTTCAAACATACAGAGTTTGTATACCAATCAACCAGACCACATCGTACCATAAAATAGAAAATAACATTTGTACAAGATTTAGCCAAATGTGGCTGTGAATGTGGGAGGCAGTGACTAATAGACAGGGCATAATTCGAGAACAATAAATCGTATAATAATAGTTCATAGGTCAAAATAAAGCTTATAATAAGAGGGGTATGAATATGAATAGTTCAGTTACTTAACGATTATACGATAAAAATATACTCATAATATTGGTCCATAAATGTATCGCAAAGTTACCATTCATTATGCTTACCGAGAACCTACATAGAGGCTAAGCGTTCGTGCGCAAGTCTAAAGGCCCTGGGTTCAAATCCCTCGGACGGCCTCGTGGATGCGCACTTGTGAGGAGCATCCCAATATAACGAAATGGTCGTCCAGTACTTACAGGTTTTCAATGGTGGTTTAACATCAATCAGTTCATGATCTCAATAAAAAAAATATGCTTTTCGTCACAAAAGATAGATTCAATTCAATTCATACAAAATAAGGTTTTTCTAACCTCATTTTGAGTAATTTTTAAACAGATTACTTAAGTATTATTTGTAGTATCGATATATATTTACTTGTAACTAACAAAAAGAAATAGTAATTCTATTACATTTATTATGTGCCTTGTAGTGAACTCCAGGGTGAACGTTTTATCCTATGCTTCTATCTTATATCAGCTTTTATGAAATATCTCATTATTTGTTAGAATTAAGTTATTTCATCTAAATGCTTTAGTCATGAAGCTTTCATTGTCACTTTAGACAATAACATCAGCACAAACTTTGAATAAAAGTGAATGAATAACAGTTTATTCTGCCTTTATTTAAATTTGATTGGTTTCTGTTCTATCATTTTTGGCTAATATTAACAACGACAACAACAACCAATCAAATTCAAGGTTGATAGAACAATCTGATAACAAATTGTGAAGACATTCTTATAGCTCATTTTTATCAAAAGTTCATTTTGATAGTTTTTATTGAAAATGCCAAACAAAGCTTCATTGAAATTAAAGAACGCGATTCACTAACATCATTTTTCTGTATTACAAATCTTCATTTTCATCAAAGCTCATGAATAAAACAGTGAGACCATAATTTATGGACGACATTTGAGAGATGCTAAACTGACCTTGAGAGTGTCCACCTAATATCTAGGATCTAGGGTTATAAACCAATGTGAGGAATTAGATTTATACTTTACAGTTGATACTTAGGGTTAGGAATTAGATTTAGGGTTTTCACAACACGAACTGACATCAGCTATAATGACAAGATGCTATTTAGTCAAATGGATTATTGAATTTCGTGCCAAAATCCGAGATCTGTTAATCTTATACCTGATTAGTTCTTCCATAAATTATAGTCTTACTAATAAAACAATTAAATATAATGAAATAAATTTAAGATACTAACAATTTTCTTCTTCTACAATATACAATTAATAATAACATAATAATAATACATAGAATAAATAATAAACCAGCTAAAGAAAATGCAGCTAAACGATAATCTTCTAAATCAATTGGTATGGCTGTTGGTATTGGATATCTTGGTAACCATAGAAGTTGTTTATAATAAAAATAAGTCCAATATGAATATGTATTTATTCTATAATTTTGTCGTAAATCAAAACCAGCACCAATTCCTTTTAATTCTAAATCAGGACGATGACTTTCAGATAAAGTAATATTATCAGTTAAATTTAACCATAAATATGTTCTATTTTCAATTCGATAAGTATCCCATGTTAAATTACGAATTGATTGTGGTGTAGCATTTGAAGTTTTTGCAAAATTCGATATAAATGATAACATATAACTACTCATTTTAACATCAAGATCAGTATATTGATAACGAGGTGGTTTAATGCTTAAATCAATTGGCCATTGTTCATTTATTTCTTCCATTGTTTTATATAATTGTAATAAAGGTAATCCAAATACATATTGTAATTCGGAACCAGGATAAACACCAATAATTTTACTCCATAAATCATTTTTTGATTTATAACCAAAAATATACATTTGAGTATGATTAATTGGTAAATACTGATTAGTTATTGATTCGAATTTTTTTTTAGCAAATTTTGGATTTGAATGATATTGAAGTGTTTGAACTAGTCCAGAACCTATGAAACGATCTGTCCAAGCAGAACGATACATTTCCCATCTTGAAAATGCACTTTCTTTATCCGGCCAGTATGTATATTGAAAAAGTAATGAATTTGTAATACCAACAGGATCCTATTTAAGTGGAACATTTAGAATGAAAACATACGTTACACTGATAATAATAATGCTGATTATTATTTCAAAAATTTATTATACAAATCTTTTCAGTGAAACTATACCGATCTTGGTCGATGCAATTTATGAAGTTGAGAATCACTAAAGAATGTGGAAAAAACACACCTTCTAAATCAAGAATCTATCACTGTAAAAAACAATCAACTTAAATGTATGTGGTTAGTTTCGGTGGGCTTGTAGTATTCTAATTTCTGAACAGATCAATCTATTCATTTTGATCTGGTTACTTATTCGCTTATCAACCTTAACTGTTTTTATATGAGTGTATATGTGTTCATTTCTAATCGTATCCATCACATGTCTGTAACTTATTTTTGTCTGTCTATTAATATTGAGTCACACCTGATAAAGACGAGTTGTCTTATATGCCTTCTCCATCGCGCGTCATTTCGATTTGCTCTGTTCTCTTCGCTTTCTTTTCTTTGTTCCTCTGATTGTTTATCCAGGTCAATAGTGTACGAAATAAACGTATTCAAACCTCATTCTCGTATTTGAATTATTTAATTCTGTTATTCACTAACATGATTTAAGCCGATGATTATTTATGAGGATCGACGATATGTATAAGCCAATAACGATAATCACACAATCCAAATTGGAGTTTGATATTCCAAAGCCACTAAACGCTATGAGATTCCCAAAGTTTCTAATCTTTCTCTTTATATTTAAAATCACATTAATTATGTTAAAAAATTGATAATATTTTGTGGAAAGATTAGTATTTGCTTAGATTCTTTATTTAGTAGTAAGTATTTTCATTATGAACTTCATATATTAAGTGGTTGGAGGTAGTCAACAGAAAACCACTGACTCGGGTTTTGTGCTTGTTAGCACTCATATATAAGATGTACCTGTGAAGTTGAAGAAACTGTTGCTCCATATAAGGTACCTTATCGATTTCATTAATTTCGATTGTGTCTATTGATTAATGTTTGATTAGAGTGTCATAATTCTAAAAATTTTCTGGCTTTCTCTTTTTCCTCAGTCGAACTCATATTCGCAGTTGTCCATATGTAGTTATGGATAACAAATGAGTAGATTCGAGGTCAATAGAACAAATTATTAATCGATTTTAACACCTCATTTCTCCTTAATTTATATGCTGGTAGTGTTGTCCAGAAGAACAATGAAAGTTTCATAACTAAACCAAACGACTTTTAGAACAAACAATCAATAATACTTATAAAATTGTATCTTATACATGTTGATAGTAACCAATATTATTGAGAAATTGAAAAATTTAAAATAAGCAACATGAAATGAACTTGATTTATCTAAAATAATCTTTTACTGTTCATGTCTCACAAAATCATTCATCAAAAGGAAATCTACTTTCATTGGTGTTATATCCCGATGAGAATAATGAATGGTAACTGTTAGAATCTATTTCTGGACTAATACTATACGTATAATTTTGTCGTATAATTGTTAAGTAACTAAACTATACATATTCATATTTCTCCTATTATAAGCTTTATTTTGACCCATAGACTATTATTATTATATGATTTACCGTTCTTAAGTTATTCCCAGTCTACTAATTGCAGTCTCCCACATTCACAGTCACTTTTGGATAGTTATTGTACAAATGTTATTTTCTGTTTTATGGTGTGATGTGGTCTGTTTGATTAGTTTATGAACCCAGTATGTTTGAAATACGTGATTCATTTCACGGAGGCTGAGAACGATGTTCTAAACTTGACAGGCAGATCTAGGTAGGAAGATGGACCGATAAGGACTGTAAATTGTTCGTACGGGTTTACGGGTTATTGGTCCGGTCGATAAATCACTGTTCTCTAATTGGCGATATCATTACGTTATATATTAATAGGGCACGAGGCCACAAGTTATAACAATTAAAATCTCAGTATTAGATGAAAATTCACTCAAAGAATCAATGAAATATACACCTGTATACACAAGAAATTTTATTATTCGAATTCACTTGGTATTATTTACTTAGATCTTCCCATTGATGTTTAAGACTGCAGTTGATCAGTCTCTTATTAGCATATGCGCATACTGTGTGGACTGCTTCGATATCGCCTTCATTCATAAGCATTATAAGCATAGATGGTTAGTGGCTAGCAGTGGAAACCATGACGCGGATTTCATCCTGTTTGGGACTCGTTAGTTGAATGTACCAGCAACTCAGAAGTGATGTTCACTCTGGGACTCGAACCCAGTACCGTTCTCTTCAAACGCCATCATGTTATCCATTTAGTTACTGAGTTCTGATAGCCACCTGCTTGTGCAATGTAGTGTAGTTTTAAACTTACTTGGTATTGTTTACTTATATCTTCTCATTGTTGTTTTAGGACTATAATCAGTCAATCTCTTATTGGCATATATGCATACTGTGCGTATTGTCAGAGTAAACATCAACTCTGAAATACAGGTACATTTAGCTGATGAGTCCCAAAAAAGGATGAAAACACGCATCCTGGATTCCACTTCTAGCCACTATTCATCTTTACTTATAATTTTATCATTTATTTAAGTATTGAATTGCTTAAGTATAAACAACAATTTATATTCATGACTGGGTAACATAAAATTTTATTTATTATCTAAGTTGTATATTTTTCATGGTAATGATAAATGACCATTCTTTTTTTCCAAAGTATATTTGTGAATAAATTACGTGGTTGGATGTAATAGTTAATTTTACAGTTATATCATCATATGGTCACTTATAACAAATGGTTGATTGATTTAAGAAATACTCTTATTTCTATATTTGTAGAAGTACAAATATACACCTTTAAAAAAATAATAAGCTTACATTTATCTCCTACTTTTGAATTCTGTAATAATTTAGACGTTGATGAATTATTCTAATTTTGGATGATTTTAACTAGAGAATAAGTACCATTCTACAGTAAGTAAGTAAGTAGGTAGGTAGGTAAGTAAGTAAGTAAGTAAGGTTAGTCAAAGCAAAATTTACGGAATAAATAATTCAGTTTTATAGTTTAAATTACAGTAGACAATTAGTCATATGACCATTTAAACCAAGAAGCATTGAATACCGATTTCGTCCTAGTAAATGAGCATTTACGACCTTAGATTAGATTGATCTTAGAACCCTGTGGTTTTGCTAAATCAAATTATAAATGATAATTATTAGATATCAACTTAGTCGTCTGAAGTTTAAGAATTGTTCCTGAAGCTTAAGTGTCCTGAGTTCGATTAGCGATAACATAGTGAATGTACTATATTGTCGTTATCTATCCAAAATGTATACATGCTAACAAGGACTGATCGATTATAGTTCTGGATATGAACAATAAAATAATGATATGAATTCAGTCTTGGTATATTTTAGAAAGTAGTCAACGAGGAATTAACCAAAAAAACAAAAAAAACTCCTGTTATTCTACTCAAATCTTTATTCCTGTTCTCTCTGAATTAATCGACAATTAGAATTATATATACCTGAAAGGGGGAAGAAATATTTTTTTATTATTATTCTTATTATCTGAATCGAACAATGAAACAAGATCAAAGAGAGAAAGGAGCATCCTTATGAATTGGATTAAATTAAATGTTCAAAAGAAGCGAACAATAATGAGAATACCGTGTATATACTATAGACAAAAAGCTTGATTTACTAAAGAAAATATAGTAGAAGACGAACCAACAATACGGTGGTATTCAATCAAAGTTATGACAAAATGTTTTTTTTTATATGCTTTTAATTACTATTTTAGAAAGTGGATTATAATGAAACTGTACATAATATTCCCATACATATATGATTCTCTAATAAGATCTAATACCATATTTTATGAAGATGCAAGTAGTTAGTTTAATTACAGGTTCCATATTTGATATAATGATATCATAACCAATATTATGATAGAAATAAAGCCTACTCTGTAATCGGTAAATTAATGATACAACAAACAGTCAATTGAAATAACGCACTTAAGAGTCAAGTTGTTCTTAAGGATCTACTATTCCGTTTTGTACAATTTCGACTTGACAGCTAAATGGACCTATATCTAGCGTTATTGTTCACATTAGGAATCGAACCTTCTATTTTCTATTTCTAATGTCAATCCATTGTTCACTGAGTTGTTGATTTCTGATAGCTAGATCCATTTTTTATAACTAAACTAATCAAAATTCAAGCTTGAATATCAACAAACCCTTACTATTAATAATATTAACATCGTACTCATTAAACATGTTAGATATTATCTGAACTCCGTTTACCACTCGCTGGCGAGTTGGGCGTTTGAGGCAAAAGGTAATCGGTTTGAGTCCTAGCGTGATCAGCATCACACTGAAATGCGAATACATCCAGTGGAATCCTAGAAAGAACGGGTTGGGTTTAGTGGGTACCACTGCTAGCAACAATCCATCTATACTATAAAAGTTGCGAAAAGCTCTTCGTGATGAAGCAATGTACAAAGAATGCACATATCCCAACACAGAATGATCAAACCCCTTTAGGAATATCAATCATTAGATAATTCGAACCTTTACTTATCAAATAGGTATGTTCGAAGTTATTAAATCATGATAAAGAAAAATACATCATAAGCTGTAGATTCGAGATAAAATCTGCCTAACTGCACTTTCACAATGTTTTAATAATTAGTTCAGTGTTGGTTAACCTTATATTTAAAAATAAAGCAGCGCCATTCTCAATCGTTAGTTAAAAACTTGATGGCAGGATTAAAGATGATCTTCACAACTTCGGTAAAAATTGAAAAGATTCTCCAAGTGTAGGTAGAGAAGGGACTCCCTGAATTTATAGCACTTTACCTGAAAGATACAACTTTTTCTATGGCTATTATTCAAGAGCACTCAGATTTAATCAAAACAGACTTAATGCTCAAGTTTTCCACAGCTCGTGGTCCCCATGAATCCAATATTTTTATTGCTGATTTTATACTACTGAATTCCTAACAAATAGTTAACTTATAATAATTAAAACGCATGATTATTTTACCAATTGTGTTGTTTGCTTTCTTCATTATGCGAATAAAATAAAATCACCCCAACAATCGTCTTTAAATGATCGAAACTTTAGTTAATGTACTATTTAACTTACTAGTGCAAAATCATTTTTCACCATTTCCATGAAACCTGAACGCATTAAATCAACTGACATGCCAGAAAATTCAGTATTTGGATTCAATAATTCGTGGGAATCGAAAGCGCTATTTTGTGTACTGTTTATTAGATTCCAAGTAAGTGGAACATTCAAACGATAAATTGATGCTAATGCATGAAAAACACCGTCATCTACAACCAGGCCACCAATAAGCTAGAAAACAACGAAAGATGTCGGCGGGAAAATGTTAGTTTTATGCTGAAGAGACTATCTTAAAAAGATACAAAATAATGGGTTACTGGTAAGGCATAGAACTTTCTAATAATTATTTAAATTTAGATATGACTAATTGATCGTTGAATAGTGGCGAATCTTCTTTTTTCTAGTCTTTAATCTTAAATGGACCCTATTATGTGGACATTAGTATTGTAGTGAACGAGAACACAAGTGGGGACGATCGAATGCATAAAATTTGAGAACCATACAGTAAATTTTTAATTTCCAAAATGTCGATCAACTGTATCAAACTTGACTGTTCTTTCATTTTCACAGTAATCACTGTCTGTTATCGCTCTCTTTTCTTATTAACCTTTAGCTGCCAGGTGTTTCACTTTTGATTGATGATACATACTACTTATATATGTCAACATCAGTAGCACACATCACAATATAAGTGACCGGACATCACGTCAACTAACAGTGGACAAACATAACATTGGTCACCAATCAGTGGTCAACCAACTGGAGTATTAAATTCCAACAAGTGGTCATTCGCATCCCGAATACTCCAGGCTGTGAAGCTGGAAAATCAAAGAGAGAATTCTATAATGATCATCACTCCCTTGATATTGTACCAGTGCTTTGTTGATGAGTGCAAACTATCATCAAATTTAGATCTACGAAGTTGAAGAAAGTACATTAAGTTTGTATCATCAATTACCATGTTATGATATTGTTCTCACTGGAATATTTCGGTCATGTTTCAAATTTAATTAATACAGTTTAATAAGCAATAAAAAATTATTAGGTTCTATTTCATCAACTTTGTTGTTCGATTAGATAGGTGATTGATTTTATATCGCCAAATTTAAGGATAACATGAATTCATCATAAAATCTTTCTAAAGTGAACTCTGACAACACGTTTAACTTATAATAAGCTTCTAAAAGAGCTATAAATATCTTCATGTATACTCAATATATTTCAATCATGATTAGCAATGGAATTCGGTATGCGTGTGTTGTTCTGTCTGTGACTCGTTAGCTAGATGTGTATGCAATTGATGTCCGACTGGGTTATTGATACGATCTTTTCTATCTCGAAATACTTGCACCATTTAATTAACACAAAATTCTTATTAGTTACTTTATTTCATTAAGTATTATATCTCAAATTTCCCATCATTAACTGGATTTGATTAAATAATCATTGGTAATGTGTAGTTGTTCTGTCTTTGTATGAGATAACATAGGAAATCAAACGTAGGATCTAAAGGCCTTTTGGTAAGCTATTAAGCTTCAGACTATTGAGTCATAATTCAAAAGTTTACATTTCTAACTTCTGGATTTCATTCGAAAATAACCTATTGTCGTTGGTGGATAAATACTACAAGTGCAAAGTCGTCGAACTTTTCCTGTTACTGGTTTTCACTAGAAATTCAGGAATTACCACTCGAATTTAGCCACTTGTAAGCATTATATTTATTTTTGTATAGAATTTTGTGTTGATTGCTAAATTTCTAGCTCACCTGGACAAATAATAGTCATTAGTTCCCCAGTAAGTAAGTTTGAGTGGAAATTCCTGAATTTCTAATGAGAATCTGTGGTCAGTAAAGTTCAACAATGTCGATCATGAGATAATTGCTGTCCAGCACCACAAAGTGACTGAAGTTAAAAATTTAAACCTTTAGATGGTAACTCAGTAGTTTACAGGGTAAGGACACAGTGAGAGAACATTAGAACAACAAATTTAATTTCTGATGTGACTCGGATGCATGTATTGAGGAGTTCCATACTAGGAAAAAACAACTCTCCAGTACTTTATGATTCCCAGTGATTATCTAACCAAATTTAGTTCGTAATGTGAAACTTAAATTTCAACAATCTCCAAAGTACCGCAAAGTGAAAAACTAGTATGAATACTCTGTTTACTTATCCCATAGTCTTTTCTTCCGGTATTAAATGTTTTCTGTAGAAAACTTCCTGTAAATTTCTTACTCCCATGCTACTATTATCCTTAAATTGTATTTTGTGTATTAGAAGAGGTTTTTTTGGAGACTAGTAATTTCAATAGTTGAGATTATGAGTCAGTTGAATCTCGTGGGAGGTGGGATCGTGGATGCGCACTGCTGAAGAGTCTCATACTAGGACGAAACGGCCGTCCGGTGCTTCCAGATCTTCCATGGTGGTCTAGCTTCAATTGACTCACGATTTCAACCAGTGGAATTTGTAAAATCTCCACAAAACCCCTTCTGATAATTAATTGAACAAATAGTTATATAGTATTTAATTTCACATTAGCGACAAACTAACTTAAAAATAAACACTTACTGGTATATGAGCATAAAGACCATTATTCCATAAGTATTTTGGCGTATTCATGATGAAATCATAATCTAAAGTTGGTGCCCATGGTTTTGTTAACCAATTAGGCCGATGAATACTTGTTTTGGCTGCTGCATTCGATATTTCTGTAGATGTACGAGATCGTAAACAGTTGATCATTGAACGTTTTGAAGAAACATCACAACCAACCTATAAAAATGTTAAACATTAGTTTTTTTTGTTAAGTTATCCGATGAAAACATTTATGGGTTTAATTATGAAGTCAGATGAAGCATTATCAGTATATCGTGTTGAGCAGGAATAAATCGATTACATTTGATATAGTAAGCCTATATTTACATTTACACTGCATGCATTTGCAAAACCATGACATCTATCATTTTCGTGAGATCAGTACCTGAAAGCACTGGACGGGTTCCAAGACGATTTCCTGGAGTTCTAATGAGAAGTGGTGACCTGTGGAGTCCAATCCGTGTCGGATAGAGACACGTATTTACCTCAGATAATAGATGAATGGATCAATGGAAGTTAGACATTAACACCGTTGGATGCCGTCTCAATAGCTTAGAGGTTAAGGGTTCGCGCGCAAGACTGACAGGCCCTGAGTTCGAGTTCCACGTGTGGGATCATGCGTGCTCACTGATGAAATGTCCTATACTGAAACGAAACGACCTTCCGGTGCTTCCAGGTTTCCAGAGGTGATCTAGCACCAGTCGATTCATGATCTCAATCAAAAACTTAACAACCTCCACAACCCCATATTAATGAAGATCAGTATTTGTCTATATTTTAGTTGAAAGTCATATGACAGTTAATTTTAAATAAGCTAATTTAAAAAATACTTCTTAAGTTTGATTCATAGTAAATCTGTTTAAGTGTATCTACGAAGCGAAAGAGTAATCGGTTCAGATTTATACTTCCTAATGAGATATCAAAATTGATGTTTATGACTTGGTTTACATTATATGTTAAATGACTTTTATAGGCAACTTAAACACAATCAATGATTAAACATGACAATATGATTGTTTAGATAATCGACTAAAACGTAATTTTCATTTTAACCCTACAAATCACAGATTTCAAAAAAATATTTTACTAAAAGAAGAAATGGCTAAATTATAAACAATTAAAAATTATAATCAGAGAGGTGTTTTATGGATATTATAGTAATCTAATAGTTGAATTCATGAGTCGATTGAAGCTAGACCATCATGGAAAACCTAGAAGCACTGGTCGACTGCTTCGTCCTAGTATGGGACTCCTCAGCAGTGATGTTTGAAAAAATGTCACTGAAACAAATAAAGTCAGAAGTCTTAAAAAATCATGCAGTAAATTGCTTAGAGGCGTCAGACGAAGTGAGATTATCTATAAGGTAACAGAATATGATGTGAAAACTATCAGATTTCATTAAGTAAACATTTCGGAATTAGTACATTATATTTGAAATGGATTAAAACTGCTTCGGATATGATCCAAGGCCTAGGATCAGTGGGCATTTATTTTATTGTAGTGTGAGAATCTTCAACCCAACCTGAAGCATTTCTGAAGTTACTTCTCTGGTTCAAGCTTAGGAAAAAGAGAAGAGACAGACGTGGTTTTCGAAACACCATCCTTGGAAAAAGAATCTTGCTACAAAATGCTAATCATAGAAAATCATTTAAATGGTTTAAATCCTCCCTTGTATGTTGAATGGTATTCATATAAAAGATTTACGTCGCCTCATAGTGATAGTTAAGATTCTTCTCCTTCTGACAACCAGGACAATAACTAATATAAGCGGTTGGATTGCTCAAAAAATGTGGTAGACCAGTTGGACCAATCGAATGGTAGCGAAAGTACAAAGATACAAAGCAGTAGTACTTGAAATCAGTGAGACTCATCGTCCCAAGCTGGAAATGTCTCACACACAAGGAGTTGCACTGATCTTCGAAGAGGCATAGAAATCTCTTATAGGATGGAAATCACATATCAAAGTGTCATTCAAAACAGAGGCAACGGATTAAAATAAATATCACCCAACAATGAAAATAGAGATGGTAAATATCAGATTTATAAAAGGCTTCAGTTCATTGTAGAGAAGTAATCAGGAAAAGATCTGACCACCCTGGTGAGGACTTGGTTCTCTAGGTCTGTATGAACGACACCGAGTATGAGAACATTATGGAGCGATATGGACTGGGGAAAAAAGGATGAGAATGGTCAGAGGCTGAAAGATATATGTACCTACAACGACGCGTTATATGTGGTACTATTTTCCTCCACAAACCTAAATATTAAGCCACATTGGTTTTGCCAGACCATATTACAGAAAACCAGATCGATTACGTTGATAACAATAAAAATTAAGATGATTCATGAAAGTTAGAACCGTGATTGGAGCTGGTATGACCTTAGATCGTCACCTGATGTTGACCAAGACGAAACTGAAGCTAAAGAAACGTTGGACAGTAGGAGAAGCAGCATTACAAAAGTTTAATACAACCTTCATTCAAAATATTAATAAACTCAGTAGATTCAGGATAGCTCTCAGCAATAAGTTCCAAGCCCTATAAAATTTACACGAAGAGAAACGACAACAGGGAAAAACTATCACGCCATTAAAGAGGAAATTACTTCATTATGCCAGGAGAAGCTGGGCCGTAAGTAGCATCATCATAAAGAATGGATCTCTGTTGAGACCCTGGTCAAGATTCAATAAGGAAGAACAAGAAAACACAAACCAAAAACAATTGAAGAAGAACAGAAAAAGCTAAGGCTCACATTCAATACACAGAAGCATACAAGAGAGTGAAGAGAAGCATTAGAACTGATAAGTGGAGAGATGTAGAAAAAATTGCAACGACAGTAGAAAATTCGGAGAGAGAAGGAAATATGCGAGAAGTAAATTATACGACGAAGCTAGATGGTAAATATAGTAAACTAGAGCGATCAGTCAAGAACAAAAATGACAAACTAGTCACTGAGGTTCAAGAACAACAAAACAGGTGGGTAGAACATTTCAAATAACTCCTGAATAGACAAACACCACTGAACCCATCGTACATAAAAACTGTACATATAGAGTTTCCTATAGATGTCACCCCATTAACAGTCAAAGGAATTAACATGGCCATCAAACAAACCAAGAGTGGGAAAGCAACCGGATCAGAAAAAATGACAGCTGAACCACTGAAGTCAAACATAAAAGTAACTGCAAAAATGCTCAACGTTTTATTCAGAAAGATTTAGGAGAAAGAACAAGTTTCGACAAACCGGAAAGAATGACGCTTCATTAAAATACTGAAAAAAGATTTTATTCAGTATGAGAACTACAAACCTACCACACTACTATCAGTGTCAGACAAAATTTTCAATACAGTGTTGCCAAGCCGAATGATAGATACTCAACTTTTAGATCAGTAAGCTAGATTTTGTAAAGACCGATTATATACCGACTACATCACAGCATCGCGGCTCATTGTTGAATAATCAATTACAGGTAACTCATAAATATGTATCAATTTTCCTTAATGACGAAAAATATATTTATCTAACCCGCTATTGCTGATTGAATTCTATTGATCAATTTATAATGTCCCACCTACCAGCCTGAATAACTTGACATCATGTATGTTTTGTTGAAGTGTTCGCTGGTTGGGGGATCCAGGAAACTGAATGTAAGCTTTGTATCAGTTAAAGAGCGTCACGAAGATGTACCTATAGTCTCAGGGGGACTGATACTCCTTGATTGATCCGAACCCGGATCACATTAATACATACTGCATGTAACAACACATCACATATTGCAAAGTGACAGATAGAGTTAGATTAGAACTAAGGATCAGAAAAGCATGGATTAGTCAATACCTAGGGATAAATTACGTTAGGCTTAAGTGGATTTACTCAAAATATTTTGATTAATTTGATGATGTATCCGGATAGTTTTTCATTTAGAAGTAAACAAGAATAAAGCTAATAATAAAATTATCGTCATTAATCATTTTTGAGATGGAATTTATATTTTATATCTGATGAATAACTAACTTCATAATAATGAAAGTGACAGTTTAAAAAAGCTAAAATAGACGAGAAATTTACAGCAAAGTGGTTTTTGGTACTGGCAGTATTTCCTATATTTTTCAGTTACATTTAAAATCCCAGGGTAAACTCTAAAATTCTAAGAAATCAAGTAATCGGAATTAATTTAATGTTAACTCTACCAAAAAGTCGACTGTAGTATACTACAGCAAATTATTCATTGATCTATGTATTCTTACGAGACACTTTTCACTGTTAAACCCGACATCGTTTACCTAGTTCTCATGAAATCTTCTAATGTTTACCTGATAAGCCAACTGTTTAGCATATGCCTCCGATTCATTGATATTTTGAACAAAACCACCTTCCATTTGATCAGATCCGGACATAAGAATAACACGATGAAATAAGGGTGGATTTCTACGACCTGATTTTTCTGACAATAAATGTAGTGCAACATCAGCAGCAGCTGAACCATAACCAATTACAGTGATCTATTATGTAAAGGACACAAAAAAACACGTAACGTATATGAACAAACAAGTACCTTTCTAAAATAGCAGACAAGTGAGCAGGCATGTCTGGAGTGCAAAATTGTCCCCACTCTCATTAGATAATAATCTCACTATATCACAAATTCATTGAGGTTCATATTGATTTATTGGACCCGAACCTAGTGGTTCTAATGACTAGTTGTTAGCCATGACATTTGAAGATTATAATTTCGATTCCCAGTGAGTTCGTTAGAGTACAAAGCTGGTATAGAATTGCAAACCAATACACTCTGTTTTTCAGTGGTACCTCAAATGAGATCAGTCTACAACGGATACAGTCTACAAATTAGAACTAACCTCCACAAAACACCTGCAACTTAATTTGTGGAGCTTGTTTAGTTTGAAGTTATGTCCCAATAAGCATAATGAATGGTAACTTTTGGGATCCATTTATGAACCAATACTATACGTATATTTTTCTCGTATAATTGTTATGTAACTAAACTATTCATATTCAGGTCTCTCTTATCATAGGCTTTATTTTGACCTATGAACTATTATTATACGATTTATTGTTCTCGAATTATGCCCTGTCTATCAATTACTACCTACCACATTCACAGCCACATTTGGCTAAATCTTGTACAAATGTTATTTTCTATTTTATGGTACGATGTGGTCTGGTTGATTGGTATATAAACCCAGTATGTTTGAAATACATGATTCATATTGAAGAGGCTGAGATTGGTGTTCTGGACTTAACTGACTGGGCTAGGCATGAAGCAGGACCAATAAGGACTCTAAACTGTTCGTATGGGTTTACGCGACATTGATAAATCACTGTTTTCTAATTGGTGATATCATTACGTTATATATTAATAGGATCCAAGGCCAACAAGTTATAATAGAAGTAAACTTCTACCACAGATTTACAACTGTTGTACAACGATTTCTAATTTCCTTTTATTAAGTCTAATAATTTAAAAGAAAAACAAAATGTATTTTACAAACACTAAACTTACTTGATTACGATCACCTAGAAATTTATCAGCATGTTCATGAATAAATTCCAATGCTCTAATTTGATCCCATAATCCATAATTTCCCATTAATATTTCATCATTATCATCATTATTATCATCACGAATATCATTAAGATTAATATTCTTTTGTAAATATGATTTATTTATAGCTAAATAACCAAATGGACCTAATCGATAATTCACTGTAATCACAACTAAACCTAATTGAGCTAAAACATGTCCAGGATAATAATTTGCTGATCCAATTAAATGATCAATACCATGAAAAAATACAATAATTGGATATTGTTTATTATTATTGTTATTATCATTATAATTTGAACCAGTATCTATGTCATATAAATTATAAATATTTAAATAAAGACAATCTTCATTATAATTGAATGCATCATTATGAATTGGTTCAAATGTAAAATGTTTAAACCATTCATATGAATATTTTGACCATTCATTAAATGAATTTAAATTTGGTTGAGAACATGATGATCGAAAATAAGTTGCATCATATTTTTCATTTGAATGAATTGGTGGAATAGGTCGATGAAATCTTAAATTATTCTTTTGTGTTGGCGGTTTTGCATATGGAATTCCTTTCCAAATCTAATTAACAAAGAAAAATAATATGAAGATAAAATAGAAAATAAACAATAAAATTACTTGTAATGGTTAATATTCAAGAAAATAATAATTAATTACTTGTTAGTAGTAGTGTGATGTGTGCTACTTATGTAGACACAAGTAGTATATAATGTTAGTTGTGAACAGAATATCTGGCTGCAGACAAGAGGATCGAACAGAGAGGAAGGGTGCTGTTTTGAGGATGCCGTTGCGGGCCTGAAGCTGAGGTGCCGGTTGGGGCAGTCTGGTGCGGAGAGGTGGCGTCTGGGGAGCGTTCTGGCGGGGCGGCGTTGGTTGTAGCGGGTGCTGCCGACAGAGAGGAGCAGGCCGGTGGAGCACGGCTGTTAGACGTCCCAGGTGCTGGGTGGATGTCAGATGTTGGTGCCCCGGCAGGTCGACGGAGCCATTGAGGTCAGAGAGCCACAGACTCAACATTTTGACGGAAGGCATAGCACAGACTGCAGAAAAGAAAAATGTTGCACGGCGAGCAGGAACCACCACAGGAACGACTGCTTTAAAGGGGGGACGAGTGTGGTGTGTGCTACTTATGTAGACACAAGTAATATATAATGTTAGTCGTGAACAGAATGTCTGACAGCAGAGAGACAAGAAGATCAAACATTGAAGAATGAAGACAGCATGCAATTTGTTTGAAAATGCAAGAACAATGAAGTCTGAGTCATTTTGAGACAATTGATGGACATTTTGCAAATTGAGCATTTAATATATGGTAGTTAGTTTTATAACAAGTTCTGTAATTTGTTGTCAAATACATTCGGTTGTTCCCCACCCGTGTTCTATTCACTACAGTATATGCATATTCTAATTGAAAAGCTTCTGTATCATCATTTAAACAAAATTTTATAAAAGTTGATTAATGGTTAATAATGGAATTGGTAAAACTTGACAAAATCACTTTAACTAAAGTGAATGCCATAACTCCTGGTGATTTTCATCAAATGACCTTGATCGTGATAACATTATAACCAACCTAATTTCATAGTAAACCTGCCAAAATAATGTATTTTTACGTCATTCTATAGTGAACAAGAACATGAGTGGGGACAACCCGAATGTATTTGAGCACAGAATTATAGAATATCTCACTAAAATCTGACAACCATACAGTAAATACTTCATTTACAAAATGTCAATCAATTGTCTCAAACTTGACTGTTCTTTTTGCAAATTTCAATCCATCGTCTCTCCGTTCCCGTTCTTTGCCTCTCGATTTTCCACTGAAATACATTCTCTGTCTGATCATTGTTATATACTATTTATATGGATATAAGTAACTCACACCACAATTCAATATTTAATAACTAGAAGCAAATTGTTGTTATATTAAAGAATCTAATAGCTTAAATAAGCCAATTCCATATTTTATAGAAGCCTACAACAAGAAGACAATTCCTTGATCATATTAATTACAATATAATTACTAATTTAGGATGGTTAGTAAAGAGTATGTTATTTAAAAATGAGCCAACTAAAATAAGTGAATTCATTTCAACTTAACAGCTAGATGGAGTTCATTTTAAATCATAAAACATATAGAATTTATTCAGTCAGTATGAAGTCGTGGCTTATGTGTAATATATACAGAAACATTAATGTAACATAAAACGGTGTACTCTCTGGTTTTTAATAGTTACTCAACTGATATCAGTATTTCACTGGACAAATATAGAATTTAATAGTTGAATTCATGAGTCAATTGAAGCTAGACTACCATGGAAAATATGGAGTTACTGGATGCCCATTTCATCTTAGTATGGGACTCCTCAGCAGTGCTCATCCACGATTCCGCCCTCGCGAGATTCGAAGCCAGGACCTATCAGTCTCGCGCGCGAACGCTTTACCTCTAAACCGTCATCCAACGGTGTTAATGTTTAACTTCAACCAACCCAACCAATTGTCTTCAGTGAGTTACTATCTCACAACAGACACACTGAACTCCACTGGTCATGGCTTCTCACTAGAACTCCAAGAAATACCTGATTGAAACTGTCGCTAGTGAGAATATGATGATCTTAGTCAGAGAGGGGTTTTGTGGGGATTGTAGTGATTTAATAGTTGAATTCAATTGACTCATGAATTCAACAATTAAATTACCACAATCTCCACAAAACCCCCTCTCTGATTAAAATATAGAATTATTAAACTAAACATGATATGATACTCGTTTAATCTGCCTAACTTATAATAGTTGTTTCTGATAAATATTAAACAGGTAATATATTAGAATATAACAATCGAATGTAATTTAACAGTGATTATACTGAATACTTTTATCTATCAGTTATAATCAACGTGGAGCCTAATATAAAAGTGCTCTGGCCTAAATTACCATACCAAATAGGATGGAATTAACTAGATCAATATCAAAGTAACCCAAATTATGTTTCTGAAATTATTTAGTTTGAAATGACAGAATATGTTCATATGAAAGAAGACTAGATAACAAGACCTAGGATAAAGAGATAGGGTAAATTTTTATTCAGAGTTTCAGTTAATTCTGAGCCATATCACCCAACATCATCTTACAGATCTCAACCAGGTAGTCTACATCTATTAACATGCATCAAACTCAATAGTTAATGAATTTGTGGACTGTTGACAAGTATTAATTTAGCTGGCTCTAGCTTTCATTCAACTTTCTCCCACACCAATTAACATTACCTATCAAGATGGATGTTGGTTAAATGTATATAACACATGTCTTAGCAATATTTATACAGAAAGGATAAATTCCCTTATCGTCAGTATTATCTAGACGGCTTCTTTACTGTTATTTAATCTAACACAAAAGTTAAGTCAAATTGTTTTTCAACTTTAATTGTCCTTTGTATATTACTTTATGTACTAGTATTCTATTGAGAAACCATTTGGTTTAATGACGATGAAAATGGAATTCTTTTTACAATTAATATTCTTGAATCATATTGTCTAATTTCAATAGTTGAGATCATGAGTCAATTGAAGCTAGACCACTATGAAAAACTTGGAAGCACTGGACGGCCTTTTCGTCCTAGTATGGGACTCCTCAATAGTGCGCATCCACGACCACATCTTGCGGGATTGTCTATCTTATCAGTATACTTTCTGAATATTTTTAATCAATACTTGATAATACTTTCGGTTAAATTAGATAAATGAAAAATTTCATTTGATTGATTAAAATAGGTCTCCTGTCTAGTTTACTGTAAACCATATCATACAATCTGTAGTTATGGAAAATGTTAGTTTAGTTCGTATTCATGATGTACAATATCATATTAATATATATAGATTTTCATTACATTATTGCATACATTTGCATATATTAAGCTAAATGGATTTTTAGACGTTTTGTATAGCTTAAGAATGGCTTTCATCATAAACTGACATCATCTGAAGAAGTAATATGAAAGTTGTTCTGTGCTAGTATAAAACTTGTAACCTTTAAGTACATGCAAACATCACTTCATATTGGGTCAAAACTAAGATTTCCAAGTCTTATAATGAGCATGATATATTCCAGTCATTCAGTCGAATGTTAATGCCCCAAATCTTTATTTTTGATCAACCAGTAATAATCAACAATCACTGTCTAATAATAACATCTTACATTTTTGAGATAGTTGACTATATATGAAAAAGCTTCTTTCTAGATCTTCAGACAATTGCCTTTCTAATCTAATCATCAGTGAGTACATAATAATTGTGTACAAAGGTGAAACGCTTTATCCATTTTAAAGTTACTTTACAGAGTTTTGATGTCATTATAGAGATAAATCTCTGATGTGAACAGAGAAATAAAGAAGTCGTGACAAACAATGGAAGCTATTTTGGGGATGTTATTTCACTCAATTCAAAGTCTGTAGAACGCTTATATGTAGTTTTATCCCTGGGTTATCCTATGATATGTCATTTATTGCCATACCCGTTTCTGTTTCAAAGCTATTGTAATTTAAGCGTTACCTTTGGTACTCTATTTTTCTGCTCTAATACTCATTTTGGACATAATTGTATTTTTCTAATTGTTTGTGCGTTGTGAGTGTGGCAGCAGCCTCTGCAACAATAGGCCTCAATATACACAAAGGAAAAACCAAGATCTTCAAATACAACACGTAGGAAGCCAACCCAATCACACTTGATGGAGAAGCTATGGAAGATGTAAAATCTTTAACGTATCTGGGCAGCATCATCGACGAACAAGAAGGATCTGATGCAGACGTAAAGTCAAGGATTGTCAAAGTAAGGACAACATTCCTACAGTTGAAGAACATATGGAACTCAAAACAAGTTTCAACCAATATAAAAGTGATAATCTTCAATACGACCATCAAGACGATTCTACTATACGGAGCTGAAACTTGGAGAAGTACTAAAACCATCATCAAAAATGTACAAGTATTTCTAAACGATTGTCTACATAAGATACTTAATATCTGTTAACTGGATGCTATCAGCAACAGCCTATTGTGGGAATGAACAAACCAGGTTCCATTTGAGGAGGAAATTAAGAAAAGACGATGGAAACGGATAAGACATATATTACGCAAATCATCAAACTGCATCATAAGGCAAGCGCTTACCTGAAATCTTTAAGGGAAACGGAAGGGAGGAATATCAAAGAACTTACTGTGTCGGAAATCGAAAGCAGACACGAAAAGGATAATTAGCAACTGGAAAGAACTAGAAAGGATTGCCTAGGACAGAGTTTGATGGAGAATGTTGGTGGGCGGCTTATGCTCTTCCATGAGGGGTAACAGGCGTAAGTAAGTTGTGCGTTGTGGTCATGTTAGTCATCTATTTATTCATGTATCTTTTACACTGATCTGGATTGGGAATCAGTAATAAATAGAGTAGCGTTACAGCTGACTCGTCTTCTCTCTCTGGCTTGCATGACAGTCAATCAGGTGATAGAATGATTTTCATCTCCCTACCAAAGTCCTTTAGTCTCAATTCGGACTCACTCACTTCTAGCCTCATGGTTAAACCAGTTAGCCTATCGTGTCAAGGTCTTAGCGTAGATCAAGACAAGTTCTCTCCTGTATATTATCAGGCATTTGTGGTTTATAGCAATTAATGAGAATCATGAACTAATTGGGGGATTCATCATTTTCACTGTCATTTTGTTAGCCATTTTAGTGGACGTGTTTCGGTCTGTATATTTCTCTGCTTACTCTTGAATGCCGCTATAACATTTGGTATTTCAATGTGATATAAGTAACCCAAGTGTACTGATAAAGAAATGTTTCCATTTGTGTTTTATTTGGATAAACATAATCCAATCGCTTTCGGCAAGTGTGTATCCTGAATGGATTGCGTCGATAAGGTCATCAGTCACAAACAATTTTAAGCAGGGTTGGGTAGTGATTATTAATTAAATACGCGATGCACTTTTTGCCTTATTTAGGACTAATTAGCTAGATACACTTGCATCTCAGTGTGTTGATGTTCATTCCGGGACTCAAACCTCATGCCACTCGAGTCTCAAAGTGAACATCAACACACTGAGATGCAAATGCATCTAGCTGACTAGTCCTTAATAAGGTAAGATGTGCATCGCGTATTTCACTGATTGTCATTGTCAAAATCCGCTTAAAGATATTTATAAAGAAACTTAGCATCATTAAGGATTTATTTGCCAACGACTCAAGGTATATATACAAAACTATATAGTTCATGAAGAGTCCATTCACTACGGTATAAATATATACTTTATAAAGCAACTAACTCAAGAGAATATAGCCTACAAGCCTCGTTAAATAATATAATTATACTGGTCCTATTTATAAATAACTATGATTTATCTCTAGCAATTAATGCATGCATTATCATTCGAGTTTTTAACTGAACATATCCATTGTTACACAGTCAGACATATTGATTAAAGAAAAATAAACAGTATATGTTGGAGCTTTTCAATTTATTCTCTAAATAAAAATTATGCTCTTATAAGCAGGACTCACCATCTAAGTGAACGTAAAAGTGACCTGAACTACTAGGTATGTCATTAGTAAGTTTACATGTCTACATTGAATATTAAGTAATCAAGCCATGTTAGCCAGTATCTCTTATTTCGAATGTTACTCAGAAATTTGGAAAGTTTCTATTCTGGTCACAATTCGCTCAGTTGTATGATAAAATATTACTTTACAAATTAATCGACCAGTGTAAAGTTTACAGTCGATTCATATTTTAATAGTTGAATTTATGAGTCAATTTAAGTTAGGTTACCATTGTAAACCTAGAAACATTGGAAGGCTGTTTTGTCCTAGGGTGGGACTCCTTAGCAGTGCGCATCCACGATTTTGCTTGTAGAACTCGAACTCAGGACCTTCGGTCTCACATGCGGACGCTAAAACTCTAAACCACTGAACCGATATCCAACGGTTTTGATGTCTAACTTCAATCGATTCATAATCTTCCATCCATTGTCTGAAGTGGATAACTGTCTCTACCCGACACGGATTGCACTCCACTGGTCAGGGCTTATCACTAGAACTCCAGGAAATCCGTCTTGAAGTTAGTCACTAGTGAGCACATGATTATTATCAGAACGGGGATTTATGGAGATTGTAGTAATTTGGTAGTTGAATTTATGAGTCGATCTAAGCTGGACCATCAATGAAAACCTGAAAGCACTGGATTCGAGTCCCATGTGCAGAATCGTGGGTGCGCACTTCTGAGCAGTCCCACGATAGTACGTCGTTCTAAAGCTTCCAGATTTTCAATGGTAGTCTAGCTTAAATAGACTCATAAATTCAACTATGAAAATTACTACAATCTCCATGATTTCTCATTGTGATTCATATTTTATTTGCTTATTTCTAATTATTCTTACCTGAATATAACGTTTCCCATTCTCTTGATATCCATATTCACTATCCAATGATATAGCATAACCATACATAATACCATAATCTGTATGGATAGATCGACTATTTTTACAACAATCTGGTTGAAAATAAGCAACACATCCAGGGATTGGATCACAAATTGGTCCAGTTTTTGGAATAATATTAAAACAACATTCATCATGATAACATCCAATAGGTTTTAAACAATAATTCAATTGATTTAATGTTAACTGGGACCATATTGAAATGATAATCAATTTCTTTATAATAATTAATAGTTTTAATGTACTGTTCATTATGATTATCAGAATTGGAATGAATTATTCAACCATTTTTTTGGTTGTTGTTGTTGTTGCTGTTGGAAATAATCCAAGAATAAGAAGATTTCAACAAGTTATATTGACAATTCAACAAGTGAATTGAAGAATATATCATTATAACTGATATTATTATGTGTATTTTTAAGTAAAGTACCAATCAGAAACATTTGCATGTAAATGTTATGCAACATTCGACTAGTTGAGAATATAAATTTAGTTAGGTAATAGTTGTATGAATCATAAATCTATACAATTTTCAATATACATATGGCTTGTATAAAATAAATGGAGAGAGAGAGAGGGAGAGAGAGAGAAATAGAGATAGCAACACAAATTGTGCACACATAGTGTAATAACACCTAACTATTTATTATTAGTCAAAATTGGACGGATTATTCCATTTCGTATATGTAAATATACACAGACAATGAGAGGAAGACAGTGAACATACCTGTTTCATGTATAAAAATAAGTGTTTACATTTACATGCAAACATAGATGTGTTTCATTTCTCTCTTACTTGTTACAGTCTATTGATAAACTATGTACACGAGAATATGCATTACTCATTAATTATTTGGAGATTTTATGATTCATAAAAGCTATAGAATTGAGAGTGAGACTATAATTTATGGACGACCTTTGAGAGATGCCAAAGTGACCTTGAGAGTGTCCACCTAGGATCAGATGAGGGTTATAAACCAATGTGAGGAATAAGAATTATGCTTTATAGTTAATAGTTAGGGTTAGGAATTAGATTTAGGGTTTTTACAACACGAACTGACATCACCTATAATGCCAAGATGCTATTTAGTCAAACGGATGCGTGAACTTTGTGCCAAAATCCGAGATCTGTTATCTTATACCTGATTAGTTCGTCCATAAAATATAGTCTCGCCGAATTGAGTTTCATATTTATATGTGCAAATGTTAAAACTAGTGAGTTGTAAAGAATGTTAAATTTTATAGGTTACAACACGAATTGATCTCAATTAGACAACTTATTGAAAACCAAGATGAACTAAATAATTATTTAGTTGTGATATGAGACTGTTCATCGGAAATGAGAATGTATAATTCCATCAGAGGATGTAATTTGGAACCTTAAGGTTAAGGTGATAAGCACTTAACTATTAGACAATTGAGTTAATATGCAATTGTTTACATTTCATTAGTTTATGTGGTGAATAACCAATACATTTACAGAACAGTCAAATGGTCTATGTTGTGTTTAAACCACTCATAATTATTACCAGAAGAGTTTTTTGTGGAGATTGTAGTAATTTCAATGGTTAAGATCATGAGTCGGTTGAAGCTAGACCACCATGGAAAACCTGGGAACACTGGACGGCCGTTTCGTCCTACTGTGGGACTCCTCGGCAGTGCGCATCCACGACCTCGCCCCCTGAGAGATTCGAACCCAGGACCTACTGGTTTCACACGCGAGCACTTAACCACTAGACCACTGAGCCGGCATCCAACGGTGTTAATGTCTAACTTCAACCAATCCACGAAATTGAGCGACATATCCACCATTGTCTTCAGTGAGTTACTATCCCACAACAGACCTGGTTGAACTCCACTGGTCACTACTTCTCACTAGAACTTCAGGATATACCTCTTGAAGCCAGTCACTAGTGAGCATATGTTGGTTATTATCATACTACTTACTTCAAATTCGAGTTCTTGGTTATGTCATGTTGAAGTTCTAGACTTATAAGGATGTTTAAGCCCTCGCGCATAAGACTGTTAGGTCCTGGGTTCAAATGTCGCGGGGATCAGGATCAAGGGTGCGCACTATTGAGGAGTCCCATGATAGGACGAAACGGCCGTCCAGTGCTTCCAGGTTTTCCATAGTGGTCTAGCTTCAATTGAATCATGATTTCCTTATTGAAATTATGGGGATTAGTACTATTTCGTTACATTATTACAAATTCATAGTTTATTTACGATATCCTGGTAGTTTAACGCCTAACTACATTAAAAACGTAAGGATTATATATCATGTAAAGTCTACAGATTAAATTGATGAAGGTCAACAAAAAGTAACACCAATATTTAGTCAGGAACAATAGAGAGATGTTTCTTATTTATCTATTCAATATTTGAAGATAATCACGAACTGTTTATAACATATGCTGAAATGGTTACTTCTTTAATTATAAACATTTGCTACAGTTTGTGAGACTATAATTTATGGACGAACTAATCAGGTATAAGATAGCATATCTTGGATTTTGTCACGAAATTCAATCATCCAATTGACTAAATAGCATCTTGGCATTATAGTTGATATCAGTTCGTGATGTGAAAACCCTAAGTTTAATTCCTAACATTAACCATCAACTGTAAATCGTAATTGTAATTCCTTACACAGGTTTATAACCCTCATTTGATCCTAGATATTAGGTGGACACTTTCAAGGTCACTTTGGCATCTCTCAAATAACGCCCATTCAAGATCCACGTATGCTAACCATGACGAAATTCAGTTACAAATGTCGATGATAGAATAACATAAACACTTGCGATTATTTGGTTGAGATCATGAATCGATCAATGTTAGACTACCATTGGGGGCTTGGAAGCACTTAACGACCGTTTCATCCCAGTATGAAGCTTTTCCTCAGTGCACATCCACGATTCTGTACGCTTGATTCGAGCCCAGAACATTCTGTCTCACGCGCGATTGCTTAACCTCTAGACGAATGAGCTAGCATCCATTGGTGTTAATGCACGATTAGCTAAAATACTGTCCTCTCAGTTTTAATGAATAATTCAACAAATTTATTTATAATAAAATCAGATATATTGTCTACATTATAAAATTCACATGACTATATTTTAAAAGGTCATTCAACATTTTAAAATTCACTGGATAACTTAAATGCACATTAAGTTGAACTGTTTCATATAAAATCATTTTAGATGTATCCAGAATGAATCTATTAAACTTACAATAGTACCAACTAATAGTCTATTAGTATATATAGACACATATACATAATTTATATTACGAGATATGTTACTCCAGTATTGATGTTTCACTTGTGCGATATATATACGCGTATAGCTGATTGTTTGTACATTTGTCTTTTATTTAAATTAGTATAAGTTGAGCGATTTAATCATAGATGAAACCGATAAAACACACAAACTACTATTCATTACAAGTGACATCATCTTATAGGAGAAATTAACTTTTGAATTTTATACAGAATCGATTTCAGTAAATATTAGAATAAGTAATTGACTTGAGTTATACTGTTGTTAATATTCAGTACAACAACTTGACAGTCTCTGTAAGTATATATCTATTCCAATGAATGAAGGGATAAATTCTAGTACATTTATTAAATTAAATACTGAAAACACTGAAGATAACCTCAGCCATTTGTTCGATACTACAGTCTTTTTTAAATTGACAGAAGTTTTGACTACATACTTGAACCTTCATGAATTCAATAAAAAACCGAATATATTCTCTTTGTCCATTCGTTTTTCGTCTAGATTCTTAGGCCGGCTGACAAAAACACCCACAAGAAAACTCAATTTGACTGTTCTTTACCTACACAAATAGAAATTACGAACTAATAAACAATGATCGGTGGAATTAAGTAGTGTAAACATTAAGATAGTTGGCATCGATCCTATTAGATAACCGTCGTACAATATTGTAGCTTCTTCTAACCTACCATCACTTCTATGTTGTACTGAAGTTTTTGTTTGCTTACATTGATGACCTGATAAAGCCGTATTAGCCGTAATACTTGGTTATTTAAGTCTTACCGTAATTGGAGGAAGTACAAGAATAAAAGCAGAGACCTAAGGTTGATGTTATGATTCTGATTGCACCAGGATATGATTATAATGAGGTCAATTCCTCAGACGACCAGCATGTATAGCACTTCTGCCTTCCCATAAGCGAGTTAAAAAAGGTAGGCCTTACAAGACTAGCAACGCACCTTACCCTACGGATTCCTTTCACCTGAAGTGAGAGCGTAAAAATAAGAAACAAACACATTTATAACTACATGTAACCGATCTCACTAAGCTGTTCCTTGGGCTCTGTAGTCACACTTCTAACTAGCCATAACCATTAATAATCCAGTTTCCTTCCCAAGTACATACATAAAGAGTATCCTATCATGGTATGAGGAAACGTGCAGTGACACTCGCTCACACACATCTCAAAAAACTTGAGATCACCTCGTTCATGACAGATCGTTAACTGGTTGAACTTTAAAATTTAGGCTACCGAATTTCAACTTGGTGATCTATCTCGCTTGTCGAAAGGTCTGAATAATCAAGTAAAACTGTTGTATCTGATTTCATAGGAATTACTATTTTACTCGGAGCTATCTATTTCTTGATAATATACACACTTTTTGTAATTTTTTAAAAAAATTTCGTAATATCTTATGCTTACATATTGAATTGTATTCCAAAAGAATTAAAGTGGTATTGTGGTGTGAGCTACTTATATCCACATAAGTAGTATATAACAGTGGTCAGGCACAGAATGTATTTCAGTAAAAGATCGATAAGGAAAGAATGGGAACGGAACGCGATTGTTATGAAAATGTATGGACAATGAAATCTGAGACGATGGAATGATATTTTGCAAATTAACGACTTACTATATGGTTTTCAGATTTTAGTGAGATGCTCTTTAATTTTATGTCAAATATATTCGGTTGTCTTCACTCGTATTCTTGTTCACTACAGTATCACATTGCACAATACTTAAAAGTTCATCGAGACAAAATGAAATACGTATTAAGGTTCAATATTATAGATCCTCCTTCTGTCTACCATTTATTTACGATGCTACACTAACCTATTCACATAAGCTAATTCGTTTCTGGTCATTTTATCGAAAATAACAATTATGGTCTATTAGTATTCTGAAGGAAGAAACATAAGTAAACAATTTAAAAATGAGATTTGTGTAAGATGATTAGTGAGATAAATTGCAGAAATCTCCATTTGGTATGTGTTTTGTGACATTTATGCTGTTAAACAAAGGAAAATTTAACACTGATTATTATCGAGTAATCAGCTAATTTCATTAGTAAATTTCTACTGTTTATCAGTCACAATTGATTGATCACTGGGTGGTGATCCATGTCATGTGTGTCTAATCCTTATTAGTGCAGATCGAATCCTATCGACCATGTCGCAATGTGACCACCAGTCTAAGTGGCTCAA